TGCATTTACGTAGTCTATACCTTCCATTGCACCTTACCTGTTTATCAGACCTTTCACAGTGCGCTTCAGTTTCTCCAGCTCGGCTTTGCGTTTGCTGTCCACGGCTTCTCGTAAGTGAGGTGGAACATACTTGCCTGCTGTGGCAGGATTCTATAAAAAGAAGAAACCACAATTCGCTTCAAAACATACTTCTGATGAGCATGCAATATGGAAAAAAAAGAGTAATTACCAATACTGACTCCATGACACTGAATATAACACTATTGTCTTACGTAGAGCTGCTTTATAGTTGAATTAAGCTTGCTTCATGACTGATGAACTTCGCAACACTGACACTGCTATTGAGCTGAATAATGACATTACTGACTTCTGTTGAAATGCTTCACAACTGAAAATGAATTTGTTCCATAATTGATGAATTTTGCAACATTAACACAATTTCCTGCTTATTACTGCTTTGAAACAATCTGTACTGTAGAAATAAATGTGACTTGAATTGAGCATTAGGTAGAGGGAGATTTAAACCTAAATAATAATAAATATGATCCAGATTTAGAATGACATACGGGCTTCTGGCTTTCAGGTGTTTTTTGTTGAGAGTCTTTCTCCTCCTCCTCATCGTTTTCCTCTGATGCATCTGTATCTTCCTCATCTTCATCTCCTTCCACCTCATCTTCTATCTGGGTGTCATCTTCTACATCCTCCTCTTCTTCCATCTGTGTGTCATCCTCTCCATCTCCTTCCTCTTCGTCAGTGTCATCTTCATCCTCACTGTCATCCTTGTTCTCATCATCGGTCACTTTCCCATCGCTATCCTCGTCCAACTCATCAAAGTCATCTTTAGCTCTGTCAATGTCCATTTCTTCATCACTCTCATACAGGCCCGTTGCAGATGCTCCAGGCTCAAGAATCCCTAAAATGTAATCGAGTCCATCGTTGGTGAATGACTGAGGTAGACTCTTTTTATTCTTTCTTTTATTCAGTCCAAGGCGTTTCTCTAGTCTCTTTATTACTTTGTCCTCTTCGATATTCGCCTCTAATAGAACCCGCTTTCTGCTCTCGTTCAGGCTAGCTGTCTTTCTCTGTTTTGGCAGATCTTCGGAGAAGTGGACCTTCCTTTTTGTCGTCTCTTCTTCACCATCTTTAATATGAACATTGTCTGTATTTGTCTTCTGCTGTCTCTGAGCGGCATTTTGAAGATGTCCAGTCGTCTTCTGGGCTGGTTTCTGTGTCTTTACCTCCTCCTCAGCAGGAGTATTTGGAGCAGGTTCCTCGCTGGGGTTCGGGAGTGACTGACCCGTGTTGTGGCTTTTCTTTTTGGCTTTCTTTAACTTACGTTTCTCTTTGCGCAGCTCTTTTCTACTTTTCCTCTTTACGAATATTCCTCTTTGGTCGCTTTCACTTTCACCGAAGCCGCCTTTGCTCTTCACAAAGTTATTAACCGAATCCCTGAATTTCTGAAGTTTATCCCTGTGTGTTTGCTTTCCAGCTTTCCCATTGCTCTTGCGCTGCGCCTTTGCCTTCATTTTTTTAATTAAATATATCCGGCTGTGCATATAATCTTTATTTATTGTAAATGGTTGCGTGTTTACAGCCTGAATATCGCAAATTATCCCACGAAAGAGTTACCAGAAAAGATAACACATGCAGAAGCTGGAGGCCGCCATTGATGTTGTTTCTTCGTTAGACATTATGACAGTAGAGAAAACCAAATTGTGTGGCTTTATCGCCATCTACTGAGTCGGAGCGTACTTGTTTAGCAATGAATTAAGATAATAATAAATAAGTATATGTGCCTAGACATATAGAGTATATATAGACCTATATATATTTTAAACTACTTGGAGACACGAGTAGCCTAATCCCAAGAGATCTGCACATAGCCTGATATACTATTTTAATTAAATATATTTTTACAATAATAATAATTTATTATTATTATTGGCTGGATAGATAGGTATATTTATGGATGGATTATTATTGGTAGTGGAAGTAGTAGTACTGTGTACAGGATACAGGTCTTAATTAGTGCTAATATGTGCATTGTGTAAGCTTCCTTGCTTGACCAAAAAATATGTATGTACATGGACAAAAACATATTTATATATTTCTATGTTTGGCAAAATATGCTGTTAATTGCACTCTCAGTATAACGTTTCAGCTACGTCAGGACACGTCAGACACGTTTTTTACTTGCATTATAAATCTACTTTATTCTCAGTGACAGCTCGCCTGTGTGCGTGAACCTGTCGTCCTAATTATGTGTATCCAGCTGCTGAAATTTTATGGAAAAGATTCCGTTTTGAAGTAGATCCTTGTGTTTTTTGTTTAG